AATGGTTAAAAGTGTACCTTGGAATGCTTAAAATACTACTGTTTCCGGGGACTTCGCCCCTTTGGCAGCCACCCGGGGTTCCATACCTCAGACTTTTTGCCTATTTGTTTATTCTCTCCTTAATCAGAACAATTGACATAATTTTATCCTGTACATTAGAATGTGTACTATATATAGTACTGTTAATTCTTGTTACCAGAACTATTTATATAAACTTATCCTCAAACAACAAAACTAACAAGATCAACGCCATTGCACACACACACACACACACACACACACATACACACACACACAAATGGTCCGTTAGATAAATAGAATTTTTAAGCACAAAGTATTCCGCCAATTGTGTCAAACCTTTTTTATATAGCATTATACGAACAGCTGGATGCATATATCAGCAATATATTTCACTTTTTATCTGTCAGTTTCCAGGAATGGATATAAACTGTAATTTATTGTTATTGCTATCACGGAGGAATAGCGGATGCACAGGACAAGGGTCATATGAGGTAGGTGCAATTTTTATATGACTGACAGTTCTAATGATATGGAAGAATAGGAACCAGTCAAGAAATGAGTAAAGAAGATATATGCAATATCGACTAGGGTCACAATTGTTGCTTCCAGTTCAGTACCAGCGAATGTAGTCACGGTATATTTTTAAAACACGTTTTCTTCTCATTTTGGCGGCGCTGATATACGAGTTGGATTTAGGGCATCGTTGATATATATATATATATATATATATATATATATATATATATATATATATATATATATATATATATATATATATATATATATATATATATATATATATATATATATATATATATATATATGTGTGTGTGTGTGTGTGCAGCTGTTTGTTCTTGAAAATTTAAGCATTATAGTGTGGTTGCCATTGTGTATTTTAGAGACAGTGTACAGTGAGTAACGATGCTAATTCGGACGTGAAATCTGTGACATATTGCATGGTGCTTGATATTTAGTCCAGCATTTTTAAACAATGCCTGATAACCTATGTGAAGGATTTCACCGCAAATCATCGTTGAAGGAATTTATAATAAAATATGATTTATTAGCTGAAAAGTCAATACTAAGAAACAAATTTAGAGACTATATAGAAAAAAGTTGTGACTTGAGTCCATATACGGGTTTGGCTGGCCTGGATTGGTTGATAATGAAAGTAAAATTTTCTTAAATGATTTTTTTAAGTTAACTTAGTCATAACTGCAAAAAAAATGAAACAATGTTTTATTTATAGAATTTCATTCCTTTCATTGACTTTAGTTTGGAAAAGTTATTACTGAAATTAGCACCCGACGTTTTGGTGAGGAATTTAAAACACGTGTACATCCAGAAAATGTCTCATCTCATATGGGTTTGTCAAAGAGAAGTTTGCATTAAGGATATGTCTGTACTGATAAATACAGGGTTGATCAGGAGCATTCAGACATTTAAATTATAAAATGTTTAAGATCGTGATGTTTCTAAATATTTACTATGGTAGCTAAATTAATAACACCAGTCCCTAATGTAACTGCTTGCCTTATTGCCTTATTAAAGAGACTTATCTAACTTACTTTTTTGCTTTACTTATAAGTTAAATGAGTGTTCAGTTAGGTAGTTACAAACGAGACTACTTCATGTTTCTGCATCTGTTTTTGGTCACTGTTCAAAGGAATGTATTCAACTACCACTGAAAAAGGATTTTGGTTCTTTTTCTTAAGTTTCTAAACTTCACTAAATATGAAATAGTCCAAAAATTTAAAAGCTGATTTGAAACAACTATAAGAGAGCACATGTAAAAAATGTACAGCTATTACAAAGGTCATCTATTCAAACCGTAATTTTCACCAATGTTACGGGTGAGCAACCTAAACTTTTACAATTACATGTTTAAACGTATACCTGAATACTATAGTACAACTGGAAATCTTCGTTTGTCAGACTTTTTACATTCACAGCGAAAATCTGTCGGCATTTGATTCAACGGATAAGGAGATATGGCTATTTAGTTACCACCAAAATGCAACATCCACGTAAACAGCTGAGCGACTTTTTTTAATGGACAAACCCATGCATACACGAGTGCTTGTGGAGCTGTACACAATACGTACAATCACAGGCCTTCGAAATTTTATCACTGTAGTAAGAAATGTCAAAATATCCGAGAATATAAATGAAGGGGAATAAAAATATACAGATATAGGTAATATAGGTCGAATGGCTACGGAGTGTCTAGCTGGCTGGGATTCAATACAGATATTCATAAATGTTTGTCAATGCCTTTCCAAATATTTTACAATTTATACCTTGCCTAAGAAGACGGATGTTAGTCACCCATTCGCCAATGTAGCACGTAGTTCCAAAGCATTCTAGAACAAGTCATTGTGGATTGAATATTAGAAAAGTCAAAATGACACTATTTTTTGAAGTCAAGGTCGCGTGTTTAATGTTGCGATATAGTCTCCATTTCAGGGGCCCCGAGTGGCCGAGTGGTCTAAAGCTCTCTCCGTTACGGATCACTGCCATCTCACCTCTGCGTGGGTTCGAGTCTAAGATTCGGCGAATGCGGATATGTAAAAAAGCTTGCAAGTAGCTTCTCGTGGGTCGGTGGTTCTTTCCGGTGATTTCCCGGTTTCTTCCTCCACCATTAATACTGGCTGCCAGGTATAGCCTACCGCGTGCTGAAAAATGGCGTTAAGCCCCACAACAAAATCAACAACGTCTCCCTTATATATTTAGATATGACTGCAATCACAATAATACATCAAAACAAATTAGTGAATTTTTGTTCAGTGTTAAATGGACAGATTCTTAGTGCACTGTTTATAATTATTTTATAAAACATTCAGAACTTAAATGCTAACGGACCATATCGTAGAATATCACATGTGACCTTCACATTGGAAATGGTGTTACACTGAATTTTCTAATATGCGATTCACGATGACTTGTTCTGTATTATGTTGGAACTACCGTCCTAACAGTCATGCTGACATGGCGGAAGCTGATTAGCAGTCTTTGAAGCGTTTCTTCTTCATGACCTCAATAAAATTTATTTCCTTCCTTCCGCTCGTTGTAGAGCTGATCATCTTAGAAGTGTCACTTATTATATAAAGCCATTTGACGAACAGCTTAGTAATTTACGCAGTTATAACACTACAATTAAAAAACACATCGTAAGCTTAGTAATTATACATATAATAATAGATAAAACCAGATTACACTTGAAAAAGCAATCAGGTTTGGAACCCCTGTCCGCAAATATGAATTAAATGTCTCTGTGTGTCTCTCTCAGTCCAAGGTAAGTGGGGTCCGAATTAAAAGCGATAATCTGGAGAGAGGGACTAGACAAAATAGTCCACCTAATTTGAATTCATTTGTTGTTCTAATTGTATGTAATTGTATGTCTTCGGCACATCTCTCTCTCTCTCTCTCTCTCTCTCTCTCTCTCTCTCTCTCTCTCTCTCTCTCTCTCTCTCTCTCTCTCTCTCCTTTAACTTGCTGCTGTATATGATAATTCATGCAATGTATTGTTTATATTCTTGGAGATAGTGAGACGGTGATGACGTACTCGTACTGCTATATCCACTAATAACATATCCTTTCGTACTGAATAATGCACTTAACAGAAACCAATCGAGATGCTGAGACTTTAGATATTGCATCATCGCCATGCTGAATAATTTAGAGTTGATCGAGAAATGAGCCTGAGGATTATTGTTCGTAAGTGAATGCAAATTTGTTGAACTTGTTTATTTTTGGGTAGAATTTTTAAAAATGCCCCCAAATCCTTGTTCTATGGCAGCTTATTAATTTATTGTACCTATTTGAACTTACTATAATGTTATAGTCGGTTATATTAAATGCAACGTATCGTTGCTGCAAATGCTAATTTGAAGGCACGTGACCAAATTAAGCTAACGATCCAAAAGGACATATACGCTTTAAAACATCAATAACGGTATACAGCACTGTTATATAGTTAGGCCCAGTGATATTTAACATTCATTAATTTTATCTTTCGATCCATCGATCAATACAAATCTTTTTAATGACTTAGACACAACTCCCTTGAAGAGCTGATGAAATAACAAATGGACAATGTAGTACATGAGTCACGAGTAAAAAAAAAATATTAAAGCACGAAGACGGTGATAACAATCACGTGTGCTTAAACATGAACTGATCTGTGTACATATTCAACTCTTCGTCAACAAGAAAACTGTACAAGGTTAGGATATAATGCCCATGTTCGCACAGGAATCTGTCAACGAATCTGTGCACTAGATTATAAAAAGTGTCAACTCTTGTAATTGTTTGCTATAGACATCATTATTTGAATTTTTTGCATTTCAATAACCAATATGACTAACGTGAAAGAAAATTTATTTTATCCGATAGCAAGGCGTTATGAAGCATATGTCTGACTTTCTAGCAATTTAGGATAAATTTGTTAACATTAAATATACTTTTATTACATATGAATGGCAGTAGAAAAGATAATGTTTTATGCTTCCACAGATCTTTACATCTGAAGATACTTCATAAAATGAACAGCTACATGTCAATGCTTTGAATTTTCACGATAGACGGAAACTGCACTAGGACCTTGTCAAACCCTCTCACCGTCGGCATTTTGTGCGTGCTGCAATAAGTGAACAAAATCGCTAAGTCGAAGACCTTGCACCACGAGTAAAGCTGTATGAGGCAAGGAATCCCAATCTATATGTATATTCATATACAATCCAGCGATATTTTCGTACACACAATTCCGTGACAGAGGTATTAACCTTAAGAGACCATTTATGACAGCAACACATTAATCTACTGAGATGATTTGCAATCCCCAGGGCTATCTGCCAAAAAGAAAAGATCGATCAGAAGTATACATACATACATACATACATACATACATACATACATACATACATACATACATACATACATACATACATACATACATACATACATACATACATACATACAACCTCTCCGGTGGCCTAGTGGTTAGAGCGTCCGCCTCACATGCTGGAGGTCGTGGGTTCGATCACCGGTCGAGTCATACCAAAGATTTACAAAAATGTTACTAACAGCTACCTCGCTTGACGCTCATCACTAAGAGGTTAGTGTTAGGACTGGTCGGCTTGATGCCAGGATAATGTCTGCGGTGTGATGCCCAGTGCTATATATCAGTATAAACTGCCACACTGCAGACATCATAGCGATATGAATGAATTTTTTTTTAAAAACTACATTAAAAATCATAATCACATATTATTTTTTCTGCCGACCTCTGTAGAACATATTTACTTGCACACGAGTACGATTAATTAGATTTATGGAGGGCTACGCGCGTTAAATCGCCATAAGGCACGGATTGGTACCGTCTCTGTTTAGTGATAGTCAATCAAGGCTACGTTTGTTTAAACTGAAGAAGTCCGAGGTTAATTTTCGATCAGTAGCGGAGTTGTCAGATTTGAAATATTGCAGAAAGCAGTAGTGATAAACTAAGGTGTCAGACGAACTGCATTGATTTACCCTAGTTAAGGCGGGAAATATAATTTTATTTGGATTTCACACGTTCTAAAGGGGGAGTGGTTCCTTATGAATTCTAAAGGGGGAGTGGTTCCACATGAAAACTCTCGGTTTAAATGTGCTAATAGCAAATTTGAAATAAGTCTACGCTTTTTTCAGGAAGAGAAACAACTGTAAGAAGACTCCGAGTTGAATTTAAGAAGCAAATTCACTGGTAATATTTTCCAGGGAAAGCAATTATCTGGAAATCGGCAGACACGATTCTGGGAGAAAAATCTTGAAAACACAAGGTATTTGTAACATTCTTATGTAATTCGTTGATACTACTCTGATAATTTGTTGATGTACTTGCATGGAATTATTTGCTTAAATTCGTAGATCAATTTAATTGCGATGAGTATAACTGTGCTGAGTTCATTTATTTGAATTCATACAATAATACTTTTAGATACATTGGCGACTCGTTTGAATGTAGTCTGTATTATTATAGGAAATTATGTATCTAGAATAACTGTGTTGAGTTCATTTATCTAAATTCGTGCAATGATATTATTAATTTATATACATTGGCGAATCGTTTGAATGTAGTCTCGATTATTATAGGAAATTATGTATCTAGAATTTCATGCCTTAATTTAGTTGAGATTATAAAAATCCGTGTGAATTCTCCGAACTTATAGGAAGTCACGTATGATAAAACTTTATTGTTATGTTATAAATACCGTAGTGTATGGAATATCATTCATTCATTTGCGTTATTAAGATGAGACTGGAACTGATGTCTTGGAGGTGTGTTGAAATAGCCAATAACAGAACCATTAATTTTGTGAAACTAGGTTTGTATGGTCTGTCATGACCCCAGTATATTGTGACGGAAGATTTATGTTGCTTTTTTGTTATTTTGGAAGGTGAGATAACTCCACGGGTAGTATCCGCGTACCGTGACGTAACACGTATTTACAAAACTGAAGTCACTACACAAAGTTGTTGCGCGAAAGAGGCGGTACATCCGAGACTTTGAAAAAAAAAGAAGGAAAAGTGGAGAAGACACAGACTTACCGGCACAAGGAAGTCAAAAGGGACAATCGCTGGGGAATTTGGACTGAATTTAAGGCCATCAGGTTATGACACTGTACAAGGTAGTATTTTCGATCTTTGACTCGATTCGATGATGATTAATTCTATCACTTAACATAAAGGTTATTGGTATAATCATATTTGTATCTGAAATTCGTTGAATAAGTTAATTCAAAAAGAAAGAAGTGTATCTTTCAAAGTGTAAATCATTATCACAAATGTTTATGAATTTTATTATGATTAAATTTTGTCTTTATCTGTAATGGGGGCTAATGCTTTTCTTCTATATATTTGCTCAGATCTTTATTTATTCCGCCTTAACCGCTCCGGTGGCATTGTGGTCAGAGCGTTTGTTTCTGGTGCGGGAGGTCGTGGGTTCGATACTCGGTCGAATCATACCAAAGACTTACAAAAATGGTGCTAACAGCTGCCTCGCTTGACGCTCAGCATTAAGAGGTTAGTGTTAGAACTGGTGTCAGGATAGTGACTGGGTGGGATATCATGCTGCATATCTGCGGGATGATGCAACAGTGCTAGACATCACTATAAACTGCCACTCTGCAGACATCGTAGCGATATGACTAAAAAATTGTTAAAGCTACGTTAAAAATCATAATCCCATTATCATATTATATATATATATATATATATATATATATATATATATATATATATATATATATATATATGTATGTATATATATATATAAATATATATATATATATATATATATATATATATATATATATATATATATATATATATATATATATATATATATATTCCACCTATAAGTTTTAATACTTTTTATTGATATTTACTCGTTCCGGGCGAATTACACCGTCGTCGATCACCGCTAGATAACAATAACCAAAACCAGACAACAACACACCTCAACAAAGCTGAGGAGGGGTCTGTCTGTCTGTCTGTCTGTCTGTCTGTCTGTCTGTCTGTCTCTCACACACACACACACCGACCGATATATATATATATATATATATATATATATATATATATATATATATATATATATATATATATATATATATATATATATATATATATATATATATATATTCTTTATTGGCACTGATGGAACACAAGGCTGCTGATGTTACAAGGCAGCACACAGCTGACATCATAATATATTGATGATGTCACCATCAAAAACAGTTGGAAATTTTCATACACAATCTGTTGATTCTTTTACTCGGGTTTATAATTGGATTTCAGTCGAGAGGCGCGGTTGTACCGGTTTATCGGTTTACCGTAGTACCTGTATTTTTTCCGTGATACGTACGACCGTGCTTTTGCACTGAACCGCTATTGCGATAGTTTTCGTCAGTTATGAGTGCTCGGAAATTCCAGAGTAATCTTGTTACACGTTTAAGGACAGTTACGAAATGTCCTTATTCTTCATGACAAAATAGTACTTTTGTTACAAAACAGTTTTATTTATCACAAATTAATTTTGAATATTAGAAATATAATTATATCTATCTTTTAACATGTGTGATATATACCGTCGTAGTTGCCAAATAGGATCCTGTGGTAGATTTTTTGGCCAAATCCATATTTTTCCACACATTTTGGATGTAAAACAAAATAAAACAAAACACGTTTCTTTTTAATTATTTACTACAGTACGGCAGCCGTTTCGGTGACCTAAGTGGTTAGAGCGTCCGCCTCATATGTCGGAGGTCGCAGGTTCGAACCCCGGCCGAGTCTTGCCTAAGACTTATAAAAGTTTTGGTAGGAGCTGCCTCGCTTGGCGACAGCACGGTGAAAAGATAATGCTTTTGGGTGGTTTATTATGCTACATGTCTGCGGCATGATGCCCCAGTGATGTACATCACTATAAAATGCCACTCTGCAGACATGGTAGATGATGTATGATTGAAAAACGTAATGCTACGTTAAATATCCAAATCACACTCACGCGCACGCTCATACTAGAGTACGTTAATGTTTGAGGTGCACTAACTTATTGTGAGACGATCAGTGGACTTACCAAAGTACGTTCAAGTCAAATACAAATGATCAGTCATCAGGCAGTGTTGCGTTTTCTTTTCCCAAAACTTCAAAAGAACCGTAACTCTCCTGGCAAGGGCACCATAGCAGAAGTCAATATGTTTATTTACCCTATAAACTTGCGAAAGAATAAAACGATGGTCAAATTTCAAGTGACAAGTGTGTACATTTGTGTATCGTACGTTCTTTTAGCGGGGAAGGTGGGGGAGGGGGCGGGACCGGACACTCTAAAGCTCTACCCCCCAACCCCGTTCCGGCCCTGCACTAATATAATTACGATATGCCACGGTACCTATCGCACGGTTCATTCGAAATACCGCAGTACGGTATGTTTCTTGATACCCAGCTCCAGTTTTCAGCATGTGACAAGAGAAAGAAATGGGATCCAGTCAATGTCCGTGTGTTCTGATGTACAGAGACAAGGTACTGAGATTTACTGGACGCAATGGTCAAAATAGCCTCAAGGCAGCGATATTCTCTAAGAGTACAAGCTGTTATGAGTGTGGGACCGTAACAGTCTCATTTCACTTGCCAGCACATGTATAGTCAAGCGAAGGTTTGACGGAAAATGTAGGGGTTGCTCACATTGGCCAAGGTCGGGTGCGACTGTCACGCAATGAGTACGACAACACGTTGCTATTATTGTTAGGTTGGGGCTTAACGCTTAACGCCATTTGTCATCACACGATAGGCTATACATAGCGGCCAGTATTAATGGTGGAGGAAGAAACCGGGAAATCCGCGGAAAGAACCACCGACCCACGAGAAGCTATTGGCAAGCTTTCTCACATATCCACATTCGCCGAATCTTAGATTCGAACCCACGCTGACAGAGGTGAGATGGCAGTGATCCGTAACGGATAGCGCTTTGGGCCACTCGTTAGACCACACATTGCAGATGTTCTTATAATATAGAGTACATACAACATATGATCCTCTACTTGATTCAGTTATTCATTTTATTTCTTTTTCGTTTTAAATAATTGTATCTGACAATAAATGTATTATATACAACGAACAGTCTGTCTCCTCCAACCCCTCAAGTCATTGTTTATTTATGCACTTATTCAGAATCTTGTCTTATTTACACTAAGGCTATGGAAGTTGTATGCACATTACATATTGTTCTTCATTCTTTACTACACACAGGAGAGCGTTACATAACAGTTAATATACAGCAAAACCACGTGCCGTGTCCGCACACAATATTTGTCAAAGACGATGTCCGCTTAGTTTTGATTTCTTAATAACAATCTCATTTCATGGTGGAAATTTAAATGGATTAATTTGCCATCCCCTTGAAAGTAGTGCATCCACAGCTTAAGTTTGTATTTAAAAACTGATTTGTTATTTTTCCCCTTCTTTTTCTTATTGCAAGCTGGTGGGATAAATAAAAAAATACAATGAAAATAATAGATAATTCGATTTTATTGGTTCGCGTAGAGATTTCATGACTTTATCTATTGTTGTAGTTCTTAATAATAATAATAATAATAATAATAATAATAATAATAATAATAATAATAATAATAATAATAATAATAATAATAACAATAATAATAGTTTTCTAACGATAATTGGTTTAAAATCAACTAATCATGCGTATAATCCTTGAGTGTGAATGCAATTAAAGATGGGGGTGGGTGGGTACAAGAAAGTTAGATGCGGTCCTCCAAAAATCGCTTTCACACTAGTTTGTCTTCTTCCTAGAAGAATGTACCGTCTCAGATTGAGCCTTATCGATTATGTCGTCCTCACAACTATATAAACATTGTCTGAAAGATAAATGTTGCGCTTGTGTCAATGAAGCATCATCTCACTGAACTGTCGATGTGAAACCCCTAGCGAAGACGGGGATATTGATCATTCGCATACTCACTTAGCTATTACAACCTGACGCTTTTTATTATCATTTTCTTTTTGTTATTAACTATTTTAAGATTTTCATTTCAAATAAAAACAACATATTCATCCCCAGGAGATTTTTAATCGTCATTTTCTTTTAGTTAATCGTCATTTTCTTTTAGTTATTATTGTCTAAAAATTTTAATTTAAAATAAAACAATTTATGTACCATAACATTATCAAATAGGCTGTTCTTCAATTTATAGTCATGTAAGGACCTTGGTACTTTGGTCGGTTTCACTTGTACAATCATTCGTAATTCCTGAGACATCGCTTTTCATTGATTTTCTCCCGTATCAGAGAGAGAGAGAGAGAGAGAGAGAGAGAGAGAGAGAGAGAGAGAGAGAGAGAGAGAGAGAGAGAGAGAGAGAGAGAGAGAGAGAGAGAGATGTTTAATTAAATAAGTTGTTAAAGAAACAACAAGAACAACTAAACATTAAATACATCACAGTATATGTACCACGTAACCGAGAAATTTACCGTATAATTTCGACAGTAGATAATCCCAAGAAAATGCACACATTCCGTAACGATGAACCATATTCTAAAGGTTACTTGGTGTAAGTTCAATTTTAAGGTTTTCATCCACCACAAATTATTTTTCTCTGTCACTCCAGATTTATGCATAATTTTTTTTTCTGTTATGCATGAGAAAGAAGGGAGAAACAGAACGCAGAAAGGATTGCAATTGATTTGTGTACCATATTCAATTCATTTGGAAAACGAGGACTATTAACACTTTTTATTGCTATTTTCATTTGTAACTACTGAATAATGTATAAAAATTCAAAACTGGTATAGAATCAATAGTACACGGTTGCCAGAATACTAACTATATATACTGTTGACTGAGTTTTTTTTCAAAAAGATCTTTCAAAGTGATGCGAAAAAAAAAACTAAATAAAGAAAGGTTATAATAACATATTTAATAAGATAATTAGAACAGGAACATGCAAATCATTGACTTTTTGTGTGCTTCCATTAATTACAACATATTTTAAAACTTAACATGTCACAGTCCAAGGACCTTGTTTTGTGATGTGTTATTTTGAAACTGAGAAATGTCTCTAGATGAATATAAACGTCCACCTTGGTGTATTCAGTATAAATTCTCTTAGATAAAGAAGCAAATATTAATTCTAAGCCTAAATCAGTCAATCAATCATTTAATGATGCAAACGTATGTAACAATTATTCACAAGGAGAACAAATTGGAATATATTGTTGTTGTTTTTTTTGTTGTTTTTTTTGTTTTTTTTTTAACGGTAGAAACTCTTTGTTACACTCCGCTATGGAGGAGGTAAAAAAAAAAATTTCAGACGTGTTTGGAGTGAAGATCGTATACTCTGTTTCAGTAAGTTTCCTGTGCGTTAATTTTTGAGGTAGTTTGAAGGGTCTTAATTCTCACGGATAAGAACAGAGAATGTTAGCAGTTCCTCACCGCGCTACAAGGTCTAATTCATAAGAGTGAAGAAAAGCGAAAATGCAAACAAAATGTTGACTAGCTCGGATGATTAATAATAGGTCTGTCAACAGACTTTCACAAGAAATGTAATGCCACTTGTTATTTTGTATTTTAATTTTAAAATAGTGATTGCAGACGGCGATTTCCAAAGCACTTGACAAGAAACTCGTGGCACCATTAAAATTTATTCTATATTTTGTTGTTAAATATTTGTCAATATTTTAATACAATAGATTATTTACATACACTGGATAAATTTCTCTCTTCCTGAATAAAAACTTTAAAAAGCATCTATCTACTCGATATTTCATTTTGGTCCATGAAACATTTGCACACAATTCCTTAACTTTCTTATAAAGATATTTTTCGGTCCAGGGAAAACAATTTCAATATAATGGGAATATACTTACCTGTGTTGAAGCTAAGCATGGCAGAAGATCATAAATCTACCATGTACAACAAGTCAAGCTGAGACAAAAACCAGAATGCAAATTGCTAAATATGCTAATGTGATACAAACGAAGAGATTGATTTCTGAACAGACTCGCAGAGACATTGTAAACTATGCCAATTCAATCATTTTGCATTATATAAGATTATCCAAGTCGAGGAAGAAAATTTTAATTTTGATTTTTGTACTGTAGCCAAAGAAGAACGTTGAAACGCTAAATAGTACAATATTCTAATGCCTTGAACAGAATGCATACGATTGCAAATGTAAACCCTTCTGCAAGATATCTACAAACCAAATGCATATGGGTGTTCTTAACTTTAAATATTCAAGAAAGAATATTTTTGCTCTTTCAAACAATGCATACTTTATTTATAAAAAGGTGTCTTCTGAGTCAGACAACTTATTTAAACTGTCGTACACTCAATATAATGAAACCGACCCTGTGGCCTAGTGGTTAGAGCGTCCGCCTCGGATGCGGGAGGTTGTGGGTTCTATCCCCGGTTGAGTCATACCAAAGACTTACAATAAATGGTACTTACAGCTACCTCGCTTGGCGTTCAGCATTAGGAGGTTAATGTTAGGACTGGTTGGTCTGGTGTCAGGATAATGTGACAGGGTGGGACATCATGTTATATGTCTGCGGCATGATGCCCCAGTGTTAGACATCACTATAAACTGCCAAACTGCATACATCGTAGCGATATGACTGAAATTTTTTTAAAGCTAAGTTAAAAATCATAATCACATCACATCAATATCATGAATAGTGAACTGCTATCACTGGTCCTCTGATACGGCGAAGTGTTGTCCTTTTTTAAAATGTCGTATAAGGAAGCATGACATTAATAGCAAGGCCCCTCTACGTATTTAATG